GTATATTTTATTTTATGAGAATAATTCAATTATTTTAAATTAATTAATCAATTACCTTAATATTTGAAGATATCAATTAATGAATGGGCTGATAAATTTGTCAAGCTTTTTAAAAGGTTTTCACCAACTGAATTAAATATACCTAAACTTCATCATTGGGTTTATCACACAATTCCAAGTATTAGAATGTTTGGAGCAATCAATGGTTTTAGTGCAGAAACATATGAGACACTTCACAAGTATTATGTTAAAAATCTTTACAAGATGACAAATAAACATAACACAAATCCACAAATGATAAGAATGGTTAGCAATTTATAAAACATTGAATTTCTTTTTTTTCAATTTATTTAATTAATTGCACCAAGATTTTTTTTTTATAGATAAATCATAAAAGTGTAATTAATATATATAAGAAAGTGATGAATAATAATAAAAAACAAAAATACAAAGAATCCAAAATAGAACTTCTCAATCTAAATAATAGTTTTCAATTACATTTAATACCAGGGATATTAAAATCATTACAGCCTAACACAGTCCCAGAATATATTTTAGGATTAAAAAATTTAAAAGATTGTATAATTAGCTATTTTGATCAAATATTTTCAAATTCAGTGATGATGCAAATTATAGAAATTGACCAAGTCAAAGTTACATTATATAATTCTGCAAGAATAAATTCTGGAGAAATCATAAGAGCAACCAAAAAATTTCATGACAAGCCATATTTTAGTAACATAACAATAAAAATGGAAGAAGATTCAGCTGACTATTATACAGATGATGGAGTTTGTTATGGAAAGGTATGTAATTAATCACATTTAGATTTTTAAATAACCATTTGTATTAAAAACTAAATAAAGCTTGTTGATTCTTAGGTTCTTTTGATTTTAAACATTTCATCTGAATTTAATAGTTTGAATGAAAATGTTGCTTTGGTTAATTGGTATCATTTTTTATTTCCAAATAATCCAAACAAGTTTTATAAATATGATTGTCCACATTTAAAACTTCTTACTGAATATAATATTATCCCTTTGGAATCTATTATTGAAGAAGTTCAAATAATCAAAAGATTTGATTGTAAAAATGAATTTATTGTAAATAGGTTTTTATTTCATTAGAATAATTGTATAAAAATACACTTCTGCAAAAATATACATAATAAATTATATAGAAATTAGATATATGTAAAATTTATATGCTTTTTATAAAAAATTACACAAATAAATTTCTATGCAATATTTAAATTAACAATAAATCTATATAAGTAGCAAGACATGCAAATTTATATAAAATTTATTACATAAAGTTATATGATTATAACAAATACAGAGAAATATCCCTATAAAAAATTCATATATGTAAATAACACAT